AAGAGATTACTATTAATGTACAAATCATGTAAGTAACTAATAATAAATTAGAAGATTTTAATCATCTAACATACTCAAACCTTAATTACTGTTTTATTCCATGTAGATGAAAGCTTTAGTAATATGATCATGAAATGGTCCCGCTTAAATCAAATATTTATTATATTGTGGACAGAATTGCAAAAACATTCTGTTTACGACTCAACTGATTACAGGAATTATATGGATAAAATTTGCAAGCTATTAACGGCCGATTCGAGTATATATCATCAATTTAGTACGAAAATACTGCCGCAATTCGACGCGGGTCTTATCGAAGCTGAATCACCATTAATGAATCATGGTATGTTAATTAAGATGATTACTGTATTTGGTAACCAATAATGCGTAAATACTCAATAAGTATCATTTTAATATTTCCTTGCTCAGAATATGTGATAGTATCCACTGGATTAATAACTCAAGAATTATGGAACGAGAAATTACAGCCAGTTAATTTCCTGTTATACATCGCACGTTGTGCATGCTTTGATGGCTCTTCCAGTATGGAGATAGGGCAAAATTACATCCAGCAATTAATGGATATCTTAGGCGGTGAGAAGAAAGTCAAGCAGATTTGCAAATTTAAAGACTATTTTTAGTGACTAGACGATAGGAACACAATTTGATACGCTGCGGAAATGTTCTGCGATAATTTGTACCGATTACCCATACATTGTGTATAAAGTTTGCTTTGTATAATTTCATAACGTGTCTAATGTAGATCCTATCATCAAATAACCGGCAAGATCACATATATTTGGTTGATTATTGAGCTTTGATTCATGCCGGATTTGTACATATTTTGATATATGTGTTAAGGCTAATTTATGTTATTGATTCTGATATTAATAAATAAATTAACTATTAAGTGTTATCTCATATTTAATTATTATCCTGTTTTATACGTATTACCTTTAATATTGATTTATATCACGTTGTCTAAAGAATGTTATTGACAAATTAAGAGATTCATATTCAGATGGTGTTATATTATTATATGACTAAGTAGACGTATAGAGTCTCAACATCAATTACATAAACCATCAATTTTATGCAATTTTGCTACAGTTTCTATTGGCAATAAATAAAGTGTTTAAAAGTTATTGTTAACGTCAACTAGGACATAGTATTATATTAGCAAGAAATGATAACATTATGGCTGAGCTAAATTTACCTAAAAGTTGCTAAAGTAGATCGATATCATGATCACTATGGATGTCTATTTTTAAGATTACTACGATGAAAAAGCATGACTCATCCAATTAGCTCCACCTTATTTTCGATGAGCTGTATGTAAAGTCATGACCTTAATTCTATTTTGAGTGATGCTACCCGAGGCTATTTCATGTCATTGAAATTTACCAAATTTGTTTTTCAAAGTGTAACCAGTTGTAAATCAAGAATAAATAATATCTGTTATTATTAGTATTTTAATAATTATTGTTTATTTAATATAATTCATTAACTAATTAATTAATTATTTTAATATACTATCGAATGGTATGAGAGTTGAAATAATTTCTACAGGCAAATGACATGATCATAGTAGGGATAATCGCTCGGATCAATTTAAATAATGCCAATACTATTTTATTAATTGATCATCATGTCATGACTCATGAGTCGATATAGAAGGATGATTATTATCATTATTACCAAAATAGATCTTAAAGTATACTTTATGATCATATAATAAATTGAAAGATTGAAAAAGGAATAAAAACTGATTGACAAGGTTAATCCTGTCAATAAGAAATTGACTGTGTCTGGTTATCTGTCTGCAAATTATTCTAATGAATGTTTACTCTATTTATCAACAGGTTATCTTTGAATTGCACCGCAAACAGTCAATTGGCAATTTCAATGCGGATGAACAATAACTAAATTAAATGTCTTCAAAGTCTAGATGATCATCTCGAAATTTAATACAAACATGATGCATGCCAACACTATGGGAAAAATATGACATTTCTTCATAATAAGAAATTATGATACTATTTATCCAAGAAATTTATCCATCACTTCATTAACTCATCACTGTATCCACGTACAAAATGGTATATTCATCACCATGCCTTTTGTAGTTTGTTCAAAAATAAATTTAACTTAGTTAGAGCTATATTAGAATGATTTTTAATTGATCAATAGTTATAACTACACTATATGTAATTGCTCACTATTCGAGACTGCCTCAGGTAGAGTTATCTAACATTGAGAATTGAAATGCTCGTAAACTATGCTACTAAATTATCATAACCATTCAGAATCATCCCATTAGCTGTCTATTAAAAGATAGTAATGATATAGCAACTATGTAGCAAATAAAGATACAAAAACAATGTAATTCAATTATAATTTGAGGTTAATTGTAATTATAATAAATTAATAATAACAATCTTCCTCATTAATGATTTAAACTTTCATTACATTAAATGATGGCATGATCTGAATAGAAGTATTGGCATTAATTAGTCTAGTTGATATAAAGCGATATCGTTAGCAAGTTTTTATATACAGACTTGTGCTAAAATGTATAAATAAACAGTGCACAAATTAACGATCTTTCCACATTTGCTGATAAAAACGGAAATGTATTGATAAGAAATTTAACCAACAGTAATGCAATATAGAATTAATAAATATAGCTCTGATATAAGAGAGTTATCATTTCAAACTCAACTGATTTCTGTAAATAATCAGACTAACAACATTAGTAGACGATTAATATACTATATGTCGTCGAATTCATGTATCGTCGTCTTGCATCATTGAAAGTGTGATGGTGATAAGTGATGACTAATCGGCTGTTGATCTATTGAGAATAGACATAATAATTCAATTGTTTAGCTTTACTATAAGATTTTGATTTTGAATACAATCAATAGAGTGATCATAAAGTTTAATTCAAATTATGTCATTAACGATGATAATAGTAGCTAATTCATAAGGCTAATTTAAATATAAGCTAAAAGGATCAATAAGCTTGTTATTAATTAGTTCGTTTATTCATCGACAACGTGCTATCTCGAATTATCTACTCTAAATTATCGTAAGCTCAAAACGATGAAAGAATTTTAATATTTTCTCCTCCTCGATTCAGTTCATATCATAACTGTTAAGACCACAAAACCAGACGTTTTATTTAATTGTCAATGCGTATATTAATATGTCTGTCTGATATAAAATGATTGTTATGGAATAATTTTATGTCTATGCTGTCCATGGCGCCTAATTAAATGAAGTAAAAATTTAAGTTGTCGCACAGTACGCGCATCATTTGAAGACATTGTGTCTTGATTGTTTAGCCAACATTTGACAGTTTGTCGAAAATTATATTCATGTCATATTTTAGGACACACCTGATAATTTTCACACGAGAACCTGAAATTAATAATATCAAGCTAAATAAAGACCAAGACAAATCGATAATATATTCCAGTATAAGTAGTAAAATGACAGTATTTCATTTATGCTGTGATGATCAATTCAGCTCCATTAAATTATATGTCACCTATGATAGTGGGAATTACAGTTTCAAAATATGTCTTTTAATAAACACTACTTCTGACTAAAGGGGCCATCTTAGATAGAAATGATATCTCTCTAGTAATATTAAACTGTATAAACAAGAATTATCATCTACAAAATGAACGGAATCTAAATTAACCTACTATCTTGCCATCATTAGCGAATACCGACATAAGATGATGCTTTAAAAGGCTAGAATACATATCTTGCAATTTTGAAGTAACATACAACTGGTGTTTTTGATTAATAATAAGTTAATAATTCATCTTTTATTTCAAGCATATACGATAGTACTGAATTCTATTTAAATCGACATGTCTGAAGACTCTATAATTAAAGGCCAATTATGCCTACGGTCATTACTACCTTTTAATCAAAACCACGTTCTCTCGTAGTAAGAATACTAGGTTACTCATATCATTATAATGGTATTTCTTAATGAGCCTATCATTATCATATAAGATAGTAAAAGCTATTAAATCTATGGTAAAATTTTGTCATGGATCGAATTATGGTTTTTCAATACAATTGATGATGAAGGAGTATACAAAGAATACTTTTCAAAAAAAATAACAACAGATAATTGATATAATTATCCTAGCTAAACACACAATTAGTTTTATACCTCTAGGCAACATTGATAGTCATCGAATGAAGCTGATAATTATTTTATTGTTAATGTATCATTTCTCTTTATATTCTATTTCTTTAGCGATGGAAGCAAGTCAAACATGACTAGTTACCATAACTAAGATGTACTTCTCCATGCTATGCTGTTGCATTGGGTTGAATAATACAAACTGATCTAGTAAATCGCGATGGTAAAGTACCCATATTTCTTTTCAAAACTAGATATGCAAGCATTATATTATAAAAATTAAACTAAGCACATATTGAAAGCAATCAAGGTTAATGTATGTTGGATTCGGATAAGATATGGCTTTGGCGACAGTGAATAATAATATATTGTAATAATAAATCTTTACGCGACTATTTTAAAAGTATTGACTGTTAGGTAGCAACTGGCGATTAAACACAGATCTGCTACACAAATACGCCTGCAGTGACCATATTTTGGGATGGAACTATTTATAGGAATGAGCTGAAAGGAAACTATAGACCTCGTAATCGAATAAAAAATAATCTACTTATGCATTGAGCACCATGCTAAATAATGTTACTGTCCAAAGGCGAGTTAATACTGACATCGTATCTAGTTATTGATATCACGGTAAACCTGAGCTTGCGATAGATCACAAGTTAATACCAAAATAATAATCTTCAGGAATAAATGTCTTATTTCAATTACACTTTAAGTTCGCCCGATTGAATTAAAATAGGTAATAAATGTGTAAGGAATGAAATTTAAGTTATCATTTCCATATGGTAATAATAGACAGTTGATATAAAATATATACCAGTAGCTGCTCATTTTCTTAATCACTCTAGTCATAAATTATTTATTTATAAAAAGTAAATGCACAGGTATCAAAATTTTAATATTCTCAATTCTAACAGGGAGAATTTCGTAATACAGAAAACAACGAATGCATTGTATCGATTGAGGGAAGGTTGAAGAAATAATTCTTTATTTATCTAAAACCATATTCATCTGAGCAAATTATTATGACAACATAGCTTTGTGTAATGAATAAAATTATGGAATATTAAATGTATAAAATCATAAATAAATATTAAAGTGAATTTTAATGCGATCCTTACTGATCCTTTGGTGTCATACTAAATACGTATAAGAGGTGTATAATCAGAAAATATTTAAAAATAGCATCTCCATTTTGTCCTTCTACAGTTTATCTTGGACGAGTATCTAAGTCAAATCAGTTTCAACACGTTTATGCTATCTCAGTCTTGTTAACATTATCTACCTTGCTTAAATTATCATCAACAGCTAAGATCTAGACAGACTTCCTATGGTAAAGAGATCTAATCATATTGGTTTCAATTAATTTATAATAGAAAAGCATTGAAGCTTTATATTATATTACAATTAATGAAAATCAGTAAATTATTAACGAAATTATGGTTAAATTGCTTGTGCAATGATAAGCTA